TGTCTCTGGATGGAGGGAGGCCGGTGGATGTGGTGTCTCTGCATGGAGGGAGGACGGTGGATGTGGTGTATCTGCCCCGGGGGTCTTGTACTGGGCCCCGTACTATTCAACCTGTTTAATAATGATATCGGGGGAGGGGTAATAGCCGTGTTTCCGTGTTTGCTGATGATATGAAATAGGGGGAGGGGCAACTATATGGCAGATGAGGTTTAGTGTTGATAAATGTAAAGTTGTGTATTTTGGGGTTAAAATCAGACAAGCGGAATACATATTAATGGGGAAAAGATTTGGGGGTCATAGTACGCCACAGATTGAATAACAACAGGCCAGGCTGCGGCACACAATGTCAGGCTGCGGCACACAATGCCAGGCTGCGGCACACAATGTCAGGCTGCGGCACACAATGTACGGATGCGGCACACAAGGCCAGGCTGCGGCACACCAGGCCAGGCTGCGGCACACAAGGCCAGGCTGCGGCACACACAGCGAGCAGAGTTCTGTGTTATAAATGGAATGTTTGGACCATAGCTATGAGACAAGGAGGAGGGGAGGGGTTGGAGGACCAGAGCTATGAGACAAGGAGGAGGGGAGGGGTTGGAGGACCAGAGCTATGAGACAAGGTTACTAAATCTAAACTTGTGCACGCTGGAAGTGAGGAGATGAGGGGGGGAGGGGACATGATTCTGATGTGCAATGTTTGGGTAGAGATGCAACATCAGCAATAAACTTTATACGGTAAACTCCCCAACAAGGACGAGAGGCCGCCACCTAAAACTGGTGGAGAAAAGATTTCAGCACAAGGGGCGGAGGAGGGGCTTCTTCTCAGTCAGAGCGGTCAGGGTCTGGAACTCTCTGCCACAGGCAGTGGTATCAGCTGAGAGTGTTGAAACATTCAAAAAGCATCTAGATACCTTCCTCAGAGACCGGAACATACAGGGGTACAGGTACCAGTAAAAAAGATCACACGGGGACTTGTACACACGCATACACAAGCAGAATCACATGCATACACGCAATGGGTTGGACTTGATGGACTTATGTCAGCCTCCAATACAATGTAACTATGTCACCTATTTGTATCGGTCTCTTACTCTCTCTCATCATATTTGTCATTTCAGAACCTTCGAGATATTTCCGGACCAGAATGGAGTAAATGTTCCTTTCGTGGCTCAGCGCTGATCCGTTGCCGGTGTAATCCCATACACCAGGCTCCACCCAAACAGCCAAGATGAGCATATACCAGCAGTACCTGAACGTATCCAAGATTTTGGAACATTACAACTACACCAAGGGGCTACACAAAGAGAGCTCTTCCCGTTCCGTCATCTCCATCATCTTCATCATCATCTGCTGCATCATTATCCTGGAGAACATCCTCGTCCTCATTTCCGTATTGCGCAACAAGAAGTTCCACTCGGCCATGTTCTTCTTCATCGGAAACCTGGCGTTTTCGGACCTCCTCACGGGATGTGCCTACATCGCCAATATCTTGCTGTCTGGCAAAAGGACCCTCAGCCTGACTCCGGTGGCGTGGTTCATCCGCGAGGGCACGGCCTTCACAACCCTGGCCGCTTCCGTCTTTTGCCTGTTGGCCATCGCCATTGAGAGGCACGTGGCCATCACCAAGGTCAAGGTCTACAGCAGCGACAGGAACTGCAGGATGATCATCTTGATTGGAGCTTGCTGGGTTATCTCCATGGTGATTGGGGGCCTACCTATCATTGGATGGAACTGTATTGGAAACTTGGATGAGTGCTCCTTTGTATTTCCCCTATATGCCAAAAAGTACATCCTGTTCATAGTAACTATCTTCACCGCCATACTGTTATCCATCGTTATATTCTACGTCCGTATATATTGCGTTGTGAAGTCCAGCCATGCTGAGATCGCAGCGCCGCAGACTCTCGCCCTCCTAAAAACAGTTACCATAGTCCTTGGAGTCTTTATAGTCTGTTGGCTCCCGGCCTTCATCATTCTCCTCATGGACGTGTCTTGCAGAGTGAAGTCCTGCTCCATCCTTTACAAAGCTGACTACTTTTTTGGGTTGGCCACCTTGAATTCGGCACTGAACCCTCTCATCTACACGATGAGGAGCAAAGACATGAGAAGAGAGTTTCTGAGGGTTCTGTGCTGCTGGAGCTATTTCCGCAAGAGCAAGACGCCCGACAGGTGTATGCTACACATACGTAGTTCTAGCTCCCTGGAACGCTGCACGCAAAAACACTATTTCCCCACTTCGCCCGTCATCAAGGACTGCAATACTTTTGTGTGAGAACGAAGTCAAGGGGGGTTTTCAGGGGTTTCTCAATATAAACACCTCAACGCTCTGATGGAAGGTTGGTTGAAATGAGGTGACCACCACAGAAGTGGTGCCCGGGCTTAGGTACCCATCAGACGTTGGCCGGGAAGGTATATCGATGATGTCTAATTACATTTCCTCATAGTTCTGGCTTATTCTCCTTTCCCGACAGAATTGTACAGGGAAAGTTCTCAAAAGTATTTTGCACTCTGGTTTACTTTTTGGATACATTACAAAACAATCCCGTGTATGACGGAGGCCTAATGTGAAAAACATGTAAGTATTGTGAAATCCCTATCGGCACTTTATCTGGAGCAGATACATTATTCTGCATGCGGTGGAAACAAATGACTCTACACTCCAGAAATGAATGCACATCCACGAGGCGCTTCATATCATGGACGTCTGGCAGCGTAAAGTGTCACGCGGGAATGCAATGCTGTTAGTATGAAGGTCACAAGAATCATGGAAGCCCACCAGCTGTTAATATTGAAGAGCACATTGGATTTTTGTATAGAAAGCTAAGGAACTGTGTTTTCTGGCACATACATGCAATATGTACTGTTCTCTTCCACCAGAGAAGAGAGTAAATGGGTACCAATTGTATACTGTTCTTGTCAAGAAGCACTTTTTTGGGGGTATTTATAAGAAAATTGATTCTGGCTGATAACATACTGCACTTAAGACAGGGCTGGACAAATCCCAGTTAGCCAACCTAAGAAGTCACCACAATTGTGGATCCTTCTATCATTGAGAGTGGAAGGCCCTTCTCCCTGGTCTCCAATGATACTGAATAGCTCCTGTCCACCTCTTGGAAGGCCCTTCTCCCTGGTCTCCAATGATACTGAATAGCTCCTGTCCACCTCTTGGAAGGCCCTTCTCTCTAGTCTCCAATGATACTGAATAGCTCCTGTCCACCTCTTGGAAGGCCCTTCTCCCTGGTCTCCAATGATACTGAATAGCTCCTGTCCACCTCTGGTTTAGTTAGGGATCATCTACAGTAGGACATGCACCATTTTAGGCTTTGTGCAGTTATGTTTTTGGATGTCCATTGGCTGGTGTTGTTGGATCTTTGTCGCCAACAGAGGTTGTTATGCACACAAAGAGCAAGTCATAAGCTTTGACAAGACAGTTGCGTTCCCATGTCCTCCAAAGTACTCCCAACCCCTTGCTGGTGGATGTCAATGTAGTATGTGTTTGTTATTACTTAGCTTCCGGTGTGAACAAAAATTCAAGTTACAATCCTGACAGGGGGCCAAAAAGATTATCTGAATCCTTTAAGGTGTGGAGCCATATATCCCATAGTGTACAACCTCCATACCTAACCTACCTAGTCTCCATACCTAACCTAACCTAACCCACCTAGTCTCCATACCTAACCTAACCTAACCCACCTAGTCTCAATACCTAACATTGGAAATACCAAACGTGCCTTTCTCCAAAATACCTCTTGGGGCCTGCGTTGATGGGTGTTTGTCCACTTCAAACTAGCTTTGTATTCCCATCCAAGTCTATGGGGATGAAAAACAAAACCAGCTTGAAGCAGGTCAGAGGGAGGACAGCTGCGGGTCAGAAACAGCTGGAAATAATACTGAATGGTCTCAGAACCGTCTCAGACTGATGCCATCAGCACAAGCCCGAAGCCTATTGGCCCAGGCCATCACTGTCTTACCTTATCCAAAAACAGAATTGTATTTCCCAGTTTGCCCCTACAGTGTATGAGTATCCAGATTCATAGATTTTATCTGAGCGAAGGCATATGTATGTCGCTGCAGCCCGCAGAGTATTGCATCTACCATTGTATATTCCTGGAGATATCTATCAGCCTAGAAAGTCAGGACATCCTATATACTGTATGGGCAATGGGCAAAGTATTGGTAAATAGATACAACCCTTTTCTGCATTTAGAACATAGATGGCATTCCACTTGCTTGACTTCTGCAGTTCAATTTTGCCCGTGGTGGGTATAGATTGGTATTGTGGCAGTGCATGGCAATGCCGCGGCGTAGTATGGCAACATTGGCACCCAGGACTCTCAGCCAGAGGGGCTGAGAGGGTCCAGAATGTAAACAATGTTATAAGGAAGAGCCTGGCTTATCAGGTCCTTCCAGGTTTTTCTCATTGTAGCTGGGATCTGGAGATCTCTTGGAGCTCTGGGTGGGACGAGATCTCCGGTCCTGGGGCCAGGTGTTACCAATGACCAGCTTGGGCTGATCAGGTGGCTGAGAGTAGCCTCATTAGGAGTCTGAACCCGAGTGGGAGAGTTGTGTGGGTGCAGGAGGCACCGGGCCACAGCAGACTCAGGTGCCTGCTGGACAAGTGGAACAGCCAGGGAAGGCTGGGAGAGGTCGGGAAGGTTGGTGACCCTAGGACCTGTGGGACACGCTGCTGAGAGAGCAGAGTGAGGGCTCCCGAGGGGCGAGCAGTGCGAGTTTCTTGGAGCTGTGGAAAGCTACAGAGCAAAACTAAAGACTGTCCTTTATGTTGCTGCTAGAAAACAGGAAAATTGTATTTCATACTTACCGTAATTTTCTTTTCCTGTCCAGCTCTATGGCGGCACACGAATGGGCCTTGTACTGCCATGGAGCTGACAGGAAAATGCAGTTTTAATAAGGGCAAAAAAACCAAACATCTCGTTCCTTCCACAGGGTAGACCTCCCCTGTTGCACAAGACAGTTTCCTGTCAGCTCCATGGCAGCACACGAATGGGCCTTGTGCTGCCATGGAGCTGGACAGGAAAGGAAAATTACGGTAAGTATGAAATACAATTTTCCTGTTTTACTTGCACCTCCGGTCTACAGTGGAGGGTCCTTGTTACAGTATGTATACCCACCATGGCCAACATAGACCTGGAGAAGCCAAGCGAGTGACATCACTGGAATACACGATATCGGGTACAGAGGAGCCAACTCTTCTCACAGTGTTTTTGCCAGGAGTTCATTTCTTACGATCACTTCAGTCTGTTAGGTACTAAAAGTGTTTACATTGGCCAGTAAAAGCCATCGGCGTAGACGTTCCGGAGCGGAGAAATGTGGAAACCAGATGATATTCCACTTTAGTTTTTGATGATTACTAAGAAATAAGCCTGTTTTCTATGGAGAGACATAAAACAGACCCGCGCTCGCTGGGACTTCCTGTGGGAATGTTGTTGTCTCAGCAGGAAGTGGACCTGAAAACCTCTGAGTGTCAACAAACCTAAAAAAAACCAACAGGACGGTCGTGAATTATTAGGAGTCTTGACATTGACTCAGAAAACTTGTTTTTCATGAAAGAGAATAAGGAAGCCGGTCGTAGCCCCCGAGTCTTACATACGGAAATAGTAACGCCATCCAGGAATTTAAAGCTGAACTCCAGACAAATAGCGCTCAGATGAAATAGACGGAAGCAGATTTGGCTTTCGAAATGTTTTGTCCATCCAGTCCTGAGATTTACGCAATAGGAATACAGATAAGTCACCTCCCTGCCCCCACACTGCGACTGGACAGTGAAGTAGCAGCACCAATACCAATGGGTCAACCCTCTGCTCTCTCCTCTTCTCAGCGTGCTCCTTGCCAACATGGTTCCTAGTGCTGCCCCTCCTCCTCCCAGCCTGGGTGATGCTGTGTAGGGCATTAGAAGGGGCTGGTATCAAGTCAGATTCAGTTGCATTAAACAATACCCTTCATGACCCCTTAAGAAATGCTTAAAGGAGAACTATGGGGTCAGGGCTTTTCCCTATAGTTCTCCTCAGGGTAACGGGAGGACACAAACTAGCGTCCTCCCGTCACCCTAGGCTCAGTATATAGGGAGCTACAGCTCACGGTATACTGAGACGCCGGAGCTGAAGCGGATCCCGACAATTATGTCTGGATCCGCCCAGCTGCGTGAGTGACAGCTGGATCTGCCTATCTAGAGGCAGAGCCAGCTGTACCCGCCCCCTCCCCCGTCCGTTCCGCCAGTCAGCGCTGGCGGATCGGAGCGGGGAGAGGGGAATCCAGCCCCTCCCCCTGTCACGGCAGAGAGCGGTGACAGGATCGAGAGGTGAGCGAGCGCCGGTATGTGTTCCCTCACCTCCCGATCTACTGAGCCGACCTGTGACAGTCTCATTGTCACAGGTCGGCTAGAACTATGAGGTGAGTGAAAAGCCCCTCCCCCTCATAGTTCTCCTTTAACGTTTGTGAGTTGTATCTTTGCCCGGAGTTCAGCTTTAAGGAGGAACACCACCCAAAAATATTTGTTCTCATTTTCCCCGAGACTCCTGATTAATAATACGTTTTATTTTTGGTTTTGTTTGGGAACTCCCCAAGCGTAGCGCGAGGAGATGTGTATGTGGATCGCAGTTATCTCCGCACCCTTTCAGGCTTCATGAACATTCCCATCTCAGTAACATGCCGGACCCATCAGCTGCACCAACATCCCCCTGGAAGTGGCAGGCCGTCCGCTGAGTTCTGAGGGTCTCCTGTTTACTTTCGGTCTGGGACTGCGGTCTGTGCGGATACATTCTAAGACTTTCACATGTAAAGTCAAGGCAAGCGTGAACTCTGTTCCAGCCGGACCTCATTCCCAGCTCTATGGGAACTGCTACGTCCAATCTCTGCCACCGAAACAGCTGATGGGTAGTGATGTCATTCATCAACTTTTTACCATCATTTGTGCGGTCGGTAAAAATAGTTTCAAATTTGAGAAGTAAAATGACTGAGAATTGGCAGTTGGGAAGCCAATGACAGGTCCAGGCAGCAGAACAATGACAGGTCCAGGCAGCAGAACAATGACAAGTCCAGGCAGTAGAACAATTACAGGTCCTGGTAGTAGAACAATGACAGGTCCAGGCAGCAGAACAATGACAGGTCCAGGCAGCAGAACAATGACAAGTCCAGGCAGTAGAACAATTACAGGTCCTGGTAGTAGAACAATGACAGGTCCAGGCAGCAGAACAATGACAGGTCCAGGCAGCAGAACAATGACAAGTCCAGGCAGTAGAACAATTACAGGTC